GTCAGTGGTGATCGAATGGTCTGTCGTGGTGATTGTTGGTCTCTTACGTGCGTCAATTGGCGCCTGTCTCGTTCGCCTCCGCGGCGTCTGCACGATCATGCGAAGCATTCTCTTTTGTGTTGTTCGGAGCTGTTGCCGGAGAGGCTCTGTCATCGTCTACGTGGCGGAGCCTCGGAAGAGCTGGAGTCGGAGTTTGAGTGGGTAATGTTTGATTGTAAGCTCCTGCCGGTTTGCCGCGAAGGCGGCCCATGCAGCTTTGACGCAGAGGTTCACCTCCGTTTGTGTCGGTTCGCTGAAACTGATCATCTGGCCGAGTTATTTGACCGCTCTGGCGTAGGGTATAATCTCGAAGCTCACGCCGCAGACGTTCAAAGTTGGACCTTTTCCTCTCCTGGCTCGTTGTGTAAGATTGGACCTGATCTTCGTTTTGTCTGGGTGTAGAAGGAGCGCGTGTTGTTTGGCAGTCTGAATCATGTCGCCCAGCATGTCGGTAAGTTGCGGTAGTGTCCGGCATGTCAGTACAACGTCGTCGGCGAAGCAGAGGTTCGTCATGTTGGTCGCTGCGCTGTGTCCCAGTCGCACCCCGCACTTCTTGTCCTGCCACTTTTTCACAAGCGGGGCCATGATGAATTCGAGAACCGAGTTGAACAACAAAGAGCTCAATGGGTCGCCCTGCTTAGTGCCCCGTAGTAGACTGAACGGACGGCTCGAGACGTCTATTCGCACAGGTGCTGACTGTCCGTGGTAAAGGCGTCGCGTGGCATGTATATATCCCGGTGCCATGCCCTGTGCACGCATAGCTGCTCATAAGCCGTTGTGCTCAATGCAATCGAACGCCTTCTGGAATTCTAGCGCTGCTATCCATAATGGTTGGTTCCGTTCTCGGGTTCGTTCTCGGATGAGGCTGATGGCGAAAAGGTGGTCAATCGTAGAACGCCCTGGCCGGAAACCGGCCTGGTCATCAGGTTGCTTCTTGTCGAGCTCGGGCTGTAGCGGGTTGTGCATCAGTCAGCTGAAGAGCGAGCTTGTACAACAACGCGATCGTGCAGATCGGTCTGTAGTTTTTTGTTTGTTGTAGGTTCCCAGGCTTGGGGATTACCTTCAAGACAGTCTTCTTCCACTCGTCGGGAGGTACGGCGTTAGATTTTGGAGTTGAATTGTACAGAAACAAGAGCGCGTGTCTGAGCTCAGCCGAACTGTTCTTAATAATTTCAGCCATGAGGCCTCTTGAGTCTGGTGCTTCCTTGTTCTTGAGCTCGGGGATGGCCTTTGTAAGCTCTTCCATGGTAAATGGTGGAACTTCCTCTTGCGACGCGGGCGGCGGCGGAGAAGGGACCGCCGACGCGCACAATTGCCAAAACAATCAGCGAATACGTTGGCAATAGCTTGTCGAGACGACTGTTCGACACCAGCGGAATCTTTCATCTTCGTGATCATCTTCCTCTTCTGTCTGGTCTTGATCGTCTTGATTGCTCGGAGGCCCTTGTACTGCTCCAAAGTAACATGTATACGTCTTCTCCTGTCTATTCTTTTCAGTCGTCGGAGTTCCTGGCGTATTTCTTTGCTCTGCTGTCGCCGCGTATCGCGGTCGGTATTGGGCGTTTGCCGTCTTGCTTGCATGAGCCCCGATAAATATGATTGCCGCCCGCCGTTCGGAGGCGCATGTCTGCCTTCAGGTTGGTGCGCCCTCGCACTGCCCTTCTGCCTCCGTTCCCTGGAGTTGGAGTCAACTGCAAAATCTATCGCAACATGTTCAATTTAGTCGCATAGGTCCTGAGGCGCATCTGGCAAGAGGTGCGGTTGGGCCAACGAGATGTCGGGTAACATCTTTTTTCGGTAAATCGAAGCGCATACGTGCTCGTTGTCGTCGTTTCCCGGCATGTGCATCATGGCGATCGCAGCCCGAGCTCCGCCTTGATACTGCTGATCTGGGCAGTCGGAAGACAACCGCGACTGATTTATGGTCTGAACCCAAATCAACTGCATTGTTGGACTCCGCGTCTGTGCCATGCCGAAACGTGGACCGATTGACCAGCGCGTAGTCCAACTGCTTCTGGGTGTCCTGCTTGATGCATGTGACCTGCTTGCCGGGGCGCTTGCGAAAGAACGCGTTCACGATCCTTAGGTTCCGGGTTGCCCCTCAATGCCGGAACCGCGCGCCTCGAGAATTCTCCTCTCCATAACCGCGTGGACCCGTAGTCCGATGCGCATTGTCTATTGTGCGGCCCTCGGAGTCGGAATCGGCGTCGCCAGAAAATCCGCGGGCCTTGGCCGCCTTCGTCTGCCCCACCTGGGCGTTGAAGTCGCCTGCCAGGATCACCTGTTGCTTCGTGTCCTTGCATTTCCGGCTAATGTCTTGCAGGGCGTCGTGCGCTCCCTGGGCGCGCTGACCGCCGCATCCTGAATGTGGGAAGTAAGCGACAAGAAATCCGCCGATCCGGCGTGTGAGTTTCTGAGAGCGCGGGCTTGAGCTCGCCCAAGCTTCGCTCTGCGGGGGGGAAGGGGGAGGGGTGCTCATGCCCAACCTGATTCAGTGCTTCGGAGGGGAGGGGGGGGGGGCGCGGGGACCTCATTTCCGACCTAATTAATGCTTCGGGGGGGGGGGGGAGGGGGGGGGGGCCTCATTTTCCGACCTGATTCAGCGCTTCGCCCCCCCCCCCCCCCCCCCTCCCAGAGCGGAACCCCCCATCCCCTGCAGAACGCCCCCCCCGCTTCCTGCAGCCCTGCCCCCTCCCCCCCCCCCCCCCCCCTGCAGCGGACCTCGCCCTTGTAGCCCCCCGCCCCGTCGCGGAGCGAACCGCGCCCCTGCCCCCGCCCGCCCCCCCCCCCCCCCCCCGCAGAGCCCCCCCCCCCCCCCCCCCCCCCCCCTGCAGAGCGGACCTCCCCCCTGCAGCCCCCCCCCCCCCCCCCCCCTGCAGAGCGGATCCCCCTCTCCTCCCCTGCCCGCCCCCACCCTCTGCAGAGCAGACCCGCCCCCCTGCACCCCCCCTCCTCCCAGAGCAGACCCCCCCACCCCCTGCAGACCGGACCGCGCCCCTCCCTGCAGCCCAGCCCCCGCCGCTGCAGACGGGACTCCGCTCCGTGCGCCCCGCCCCCTGCAGAGCGGACGCCCCCCCCCCCCCGCCCACGCGCCTCACCGCCGTGCAGAGCGGGCCCCGCCCCTGCAGCCCCCCCGCCCCGCTGCAGAGCGACCCCCCCCCCCCCTTGCCCACCCCCCCTGCAGAGCACCCCCCCCCCCCCTTGCAGAGCGGACCTCCCCCCTGCAACCCCCCTCCCCCTGCAGAGCAGACTTCCTCTCCTGCAGCCCCCCCCTCCTTCAATGCGGACCACCCCTCTCCCCAAAATCCACCGTTTCAGGTTCCGGAACCGTTCCGGGGTGATTCCGGAAGCTTGACACTGACCGTTTCAGGTTCCAGAATCACCCTGGAACCGTTCCGGGGTGAAAACCCATCTGGACCCATTTTGAGCTCCTCCCAGAACACTTCTCTCAGCTCCTTCCTCGGCTCCTGTAAGAAGCCCATATTGGGCTCTTTATAGAAGCCCTCACTGGGCTCCTTACAGAAGCCCTCACTGGGCTCCTTACAGAAGCCCTCACTGGGCTCCTTACAGAAGCCTTTAGTGGGCTCCTTACAAAAGCCCTCACTGGGCTCCTTACAGAAGCCCTCACTGGGCTCCTTACAGATGCCCTCACTGGGCTCCTTACAGAAGCCCTCACTGGGCTCCTCACTGGGCTCCATACAGAAGCCCTCACTGGGCTCCTCACTGGGCTCCTTACAGAAGCCCTCACTGGGCTCCTTGCAGAAGCCCTCACTGTGCTCCTCGCAGAAGCCCTCACTGGGCTCCTTGCAGAAGCCCTCACTGAACTCCTTGCAGAAGCTCTGATTGGGCTCCTCACAGAAGCCACCAAGAGAGCCGTTTTGCGCCGGGAGAGGGTCCCAGATGGATTTTCACATTGGAACGGTTCCGGGGTGAAAATCAATCTGGAACCTCCCGACGCTGCGCGGGAGGGCCCAGCCGCGAAGAACAAGCTCTCCAATAAGAGATTTCATTTGGAAAATGGCCATGTTGGGAGCTCGGGCGCACCCCCCCCCCCCCATGCCCCGACAGAGCCGCTTTGCGTCGGGAGGGGGTCGCAGATGGATTTTCACCCTGGAACGGCTCCGGGGCGACCTCCCGACGCGGCGCGGGAGGGCCCAGCCGCGAGAAACAAGCTCCCCAATAAGAGATTTCAGGTGGAAAATTGCCATATTGGGAGCTCGGGCGCACCCCCCCCATCCCCGACAGAGCCGCTTTGCGTCGGGAGGGCCCCCCCAAAGGGTTTTTCACCCTGGAACGGTTCCGGAATGAAAATCCATCTGGAACCTCCCGACGCTGCGCGGCCCAGCAGCGAAAAACAAGCTCCCCAATAAGAGATTTCATTTTGACAATTACCATTTTGGGAGCTCGAGCCCCCCCCCCCCCCCATCCCCGACCGAGCCGCTTTGCGTCGGGGGGCCCAAATGGATTTTCACCCTGGAACGGTTCCGGGGTGAAAATCCATCTGGGACCTCCCGACGCTGCGCGGGAGGGCCCAGCCGCGAAAAACAAGCTCCCCAATAAGAGATTTCATTTGGAAAATTGCCATTTTGGGAGCTCGGGCACACCCCCTCCCCCATCCCCGACAGAGCCGCTTTGCGTCGGGAGGGGGTTCCAGCTGGATTTTCACACTGGAACGGTTCTGGTGTGAAAATCCACCTGGGACCTCCCGACGCTGCGCGGGAGGGCCCAGCCGCGAAAAACAAGCTCTCCAAAAAGAGATTTCATGTGGAAAATGAAAATTTTGCGAGCTCGGGCGCACCCCCATCACCCGTCCCCGACAGAGCCGTTTGGCGTCGGGAGGGGGTTCCAAATGGATTCTCACATGGGAACGGTTCCGGGGTGAAAATCCATCTGGACCTCCCGATGCTGCGCGGGGGGGCACAACCGCGACAAGCAAGTTCCCCAATGCAAGATTTCATTTGGACAATGGCCATTTTGGGAGCTTGGGCACACCCCTCCCCTTCCCCGACAGCCGTTTTGCGTCGGGAAGGGTTGCCAAATGGATTTTCACCCTGGAACGGTTCTGGGTTGAAAATCCATTTGGGGCCTCCCGACGCTGCGCGGGAGGGCCCAGCCGCGAAAAACAAACTCCCCAATAATACATTTCATTTGGAAAATAACCATTTGGGGAGCTCGGGCACCCCCCCCCGTCCCCGACAGAGCCGCTTTGCGTCGGGAGGGGGTTCCAGCTGGATTTTCACACTGGAACGGTTCTGGTGTGAAAATCCATCTGGGACCTCCCGACGCTGCGCGGGAGGGCCCAGCCGCGAAAAACAAGCTCTCCAAAAAGAGATTTCACGTGGAAAATGGCCATGTTGGGAGCTCGCTCCCCCCCCCCCCCCATCCCCGACAGAGCAGCTTTGCGTCGGGAGGGGGCCCAAATGGATTTTCACCCTGGAACGGTTCTGGAATGAAAATCCATCCGGGACCTCCCGACGCTGCGCGGGAGGGCCCAGCCGCGAGAAACAAGCTCCCCAATGAGAGATTTCATGTGGAAAATTGCCATTTTGGGAGCTCGGGCACACCCCCCCCCCATCCCCGACAGAGCCGTTTCGCGTCGGGAGGGGGTTCCAGATGGATTTCCACACTGGACCGGTTCCGGGGTGAAAATCCATCTGGGACCTCCCGACGGACGCTGCGCGGGAGGGCCCAGCCGCGAAAAACAAGCTCCCTAATCAAAGATTTCATTTGGAAAATTACGATTTTGGAAGCTCGGGCACGCCCCCCCTCCATCCCCGAAAGAGCCGTTTTGCGTCGGGACGGGGTCTCATATGGATTTTCATACTGGAACGGTTCCGGGGTGAAAATCCATCTGGGACCTCCCGACGCTGCGCGGGAGGGCCCAGCCGCGAAAAACAAGCTCCCCAATACAATATTTCATTTGGAAGAACACAATTTTGGGAGCTCGGGCACCCCCCCCCCCCATCCCCGACAGAGCCGCTTTGCGTCGGGAGGGGGTCCCACATGGATTTTCACCCTGGAACGATTCCTGGGTGAGAATCCATTTGGGGCGCGGCAGAGCCCAGCCGCGAAAAAGGAGCTCCCCAATAAGAGATTTCATTTGGAAAATACCCATTTTGAGAGCTCGGGCACCCCCCCCCATCCCCGACAGAGCTGCTTTGCGTCGGGAGGGGGTTACACATGGATTTTCACCCTGGAACGGTTCCGGAGTGAAAATCTATCTCGGACCTCTCGACGCTGCGCGGGAGGGCCCAGCCGCGAAAAACAAGCTCCCCAATTGGAGATTTCATTTGGAAAATTGCCATTTTGGGAGCTCGGGCACACCCTCCCCATCCCCGACAGAGCCGCTTTGCGTCGGGAGGGGGTTCCAAATGGATTTCACACTGGAACGGTTCTGGTGTGAAAATCCATCTGGGACCTCCCGACGCTGCGCGGGAGGGCCCAGCCGCGAAAAACAAGCTCTCCAATCAGAGATTTCATTGGAAAATTGCCATTTGGAGAGCTCGGGCACACACCCCCCCATCCCCGACAGAGCCGTTTTGCGTCGGGAAGGGGTTCCGGATGGATCTTCACCCAGGAACGGTTCGGGGGTGAAAATCCACCTGGGGCCTCTCGACGCTGCGCGGGAGGGCCCAGCCGCGAAAAACGAGCTCCCCAATAAGAGATTTCATTTGGAAAATTGCCATTTTGGGAGCTCGGGCACGCCCCCCCCCCATCCCCGACAGAGCCGCTTTGCGTCGGGAGGGGGCCCCGCATGGATTTTCACACTGGAACGGTTCCGGGGGGGAAATCCATCTGAGACCTCCCGACGCTGCGCGGGGGGGCCCAGCCGCGAAAAACAAGCTCCCCAATACAGATTCCATTTGGAAAATGAAAATGTTGCGAGCTCGGGCACACCCCTCCCCCATCCCCGACAGGGCCGGTTTGCGTCGGGAGGAGGTTCCAAATGGATTTTCACACTGGAGCGGTTCCGGGGGGAAATCCATTTGGGACCTCCCGACGCTGCGCGGCAGAACCCAGCCGCGAAAAAACAAGCTCCCCATCAAGAGATCTCATTTGGAAAATGGTCATTTTGGGAGCTCGGGCACACCCCCCTGCCCCCATCCCCGACAGAGCCGCTTTGCGTCGGGAGGGGGTTCCAGATGGATTTTCACCCTGGAACGGTTCCGGAGTGAAAATCCATCCGGGACCTCCCGACGCTGCGCGGGGGGGCCCAGCCGCGAAAAACAAACTCCCAAATAAGAGATTTCATTTGAAGAAAACAATTTTGGGAGCTCGGGCACCCCCCCCCCATCCCCGACAGAGCCGCTTTGCGTCGGGAGGGGGTTCCAATAGATTTTCACCCTGGAACCGTTCCGGAGTGAAAATCCATCTGGAACCTCTCGACGCTGCGCGGGGGGGCCCAGCCGCGAAAAACGAGCTCCACAATAAAATATGTCATTTGGAAAATACTCCTTTTGGGAGCTCGGGCACCCCCCCCCATCCCCGACAGAGCCGCTTTGCGTCGGGAGGGGATTCCAAATGGATTTTCACCCTGGAACGGTTCCGGAGTGAAAATCAATTTGGAACCTCTCGACGCCGCGCGGGAGGGCCCAGCCGCGAAAAACAAGCTCCACAATAAAAGATTTCACTTGGAAAATACCCATTTTGGGAGCTCGGGCACCCCCCCCCCGTCCCCGACAGAGCCGTTTTGCGTCGGGAGGGGGCCCCGGATGGATTTTCACCCTGGAACGGTTCCGGGGTGAAAATCCATCTGGGACCCCCCGACGCTGCGCGGGAGGGCCCAGCCGCGAAAAACAAGCTCCCCAATAAGAGATTTCATTTGGAAAATTGCCATTTTGGGAGCTCGGGTACACCAACCCCCTTCCCCAAGATGCGCCCGCAAGACTCCCGAGAGCGCCCGGATGGAACATCGCCCGCTTCAGGTTCCGATCTTCACCCCGGAACCGTTCCAAGGTGATTCTGGGACCTGAAACGGGTCGATGCCCCCCTCTCCCCTGCAGCCCCTCCCTCTGCCGAGCGGGCCCCCCCTGCAGAGCAGACACCTCCCCCTGCCCTCTCACCTGCAGCATCATCCTGATCGCCATCTTGCGGAGCGCCCCGGATCGGCGGCACTGGCCGGAGGCCACTACAAGAACAACTTCAGTCGTCCGCGTTGCATTGACAACGTTGCCAAACGAGGTGAGATAGCATCGAAGTTCCGCACGTATCGATTCTATCTCTTGGCGATCAACATCGCTACTCCATGGTGCCGCTGTGCACTACCGCTGCCAGCCAACGTGTCCTTGAGGTGTAACCCACAGTTCTTCCACAAGTGTGCGCCAAGTCTCGTTTATGAGGATGAAGTCCCACTGACTGCCGTCGAGCTCACTGGTGAGTTCGTCGATGCGGTCGTCTGTCTCCATGAATCTAGCATTCTTCGGTATGACCGTCAGCTGCACACCATCGAGCTCGCTTGTGGATATCCGTGTTGGTTGTTCACCTGCACAAGCACGTCGTGATGGTTGGTATTCATTCGTCGCCGCAACGCCCGTCGGAGTGCAAGTGCACTAGTCACTGTCACCTGGGGGTGAAGTCGTAGACCTGGGTCCTGCATGAGAGGTCCCTCCAGGAAGTCGGAAACATTAGAATTACATGATCGAAGCGCCATTTCGCTCGAAAGACTGCCCCCCCTAGGATCAAAGGAGTTCGGAGGGGAAGCAGGTGAAACATACAACGTTGGAGTTGGGGTGCCACCCTCGGTTTTTGAAGCGGGGGCCCCGTTGGTGAATGGTGTCGCGCCGCAGTCGGAAGTAGTGCGCCTGCCGCGTAGGATGCATAACGGGACATCTCCAGGGACATCGGTGTAGGCCTGTCGGCCTCCTCCTCCACGGGCGCGTGAAACTTGATGATGTTCTTGGCCGTGTTGCTCTTGACGTGCAGAAGCGCCGGTCCTGAAGGCTCGCATGGGTCCTGCGGGGAGGTCCTGATGTGCGGTCGGAGGATAAACGCTGTTGTTGGGGCCTTCGGAAATCTTGTAGTTCCCAGAGACAGTCGGGAGATTATGCTTTGCGTTGGAGTTTCTGGAAGTCCCAAGACGAAGCCGCGATCTGTCGGAAATATGATGGTACGACAGTGAAGCGTTTTGTGGGTAAGATGTCAAATCGAGTGTCGAATTCAAATATATACCCCCCATTCGGTCCGGTTGGGGCGCTGTGGTCGGTGATAATTCCCAATGCCGTCATATGGCGTCGCGCTGGTTCCGCCACTGCTCCATGAACCCCACCACGTCCTCCCTGACCTTGTTGCCGACCCCGTAAGTTTCTAATTCTCCGTCCTCTTTGACTTCGGCTACCTTGGTACCCTTGATTTTAATGATCCGTGTATCCCAAAATATGCGGACCGAATGCTGTTCGAAGCCCTTGTTCATCAAGTGATGTTTGACCTGGCCCAGAGTCTTGTCAACAATCCGTTTCTCAATCGTGCTTTTGCTTGTGAACCGCGTTTTTTCCCCACACTGCCACTTGGTCATTCCCCCCCTCGCCTTCTTAAGGAAGCCCTTCTTCGCAGAATCGGTGGGAAAATCCAAAACTCTGATTTTGGCTGGGTCGAGGAATGTCGAAATTTGTAATATCCTGTCCTTCACGCCATGCTCCTCCACGGTGCGTTGGATATGCTTGATGATGTGGTCCTCTGACTCCTCCTCCTTCAAACCGCCTACGATGACCTGTAGTTCCCGGTTGTCCTGCGGTGGTTGTTGTTGGGGTTGTTGGTGTATGATATCATTTGTGGTCGCCATTGCCTTCTGCACACGCTCCTCCGCTGCGGCCTCCAACTCCTTATAGAACGAGTCCTTTGTCATGTATTCCATCTCGATGTCAGCACGCAGATTTTCAAGGTCGGTCTCTGCATCCTCTACCCGATCTTGTGCTTCACGTGCTACTCGTAGGGCATGTCCTGCTTCTTCTGGATGCTTGACGTGATAGTTGATAGTTGGGTGGTCAGTCGTTCCTCGAAGGCCGTGAGCCACGGTGGAGTGCCATCAGAAACCATAAGCTCACCTCCCTTCTCCTTCCCAAGGTCGTCCATGGTCTCATCGTCGTTCGTCTTCGGTTTCTGTTTTTGTGGTGAAGATCTGGTTTTCCCACCGTGTCGTTTCTCTCGTTCGGGCATTCCTGCCCAGAAAGGGGCCGCAAACCTCTCGCGATTCGAATGCACTTGGAAAGAAGGTCAGAAGGTATTACAGTGAGGAATGCAAAGGGTAAGAGAAGCCTTGAGCCTTAGCGCCTTGAACCTTGAGTCAAAGAGTGGGTGGAGGCGGTGATGAAGTGGCTCGGCGAGAGGCTAGGCCATGCCCTGGGCGCCCTGCTTCACCAGCTGATCGCCTTCCTCATAGGCTTGATCGACGCGGTGGGCAAGTACCTCTTCGGCGCATTCTGGGCTAGGCTACAGTGGGCAGCCATGGGACTTGTGGCCATGGGGGTGGCTACAGTGCTTGGTTCCGCGCTGGGCTTCCTGGCCTGGTTTGTGCGCACGGCGTGGTCGTACATCTCAATCCTCATCGGGACGCTGAAGGGGTTCGCCGGTGGCAGTAAGACGGGGCACGACGTCATTGTGGCTCTGGACGGCGACCCCACGGACGCGGTTGCATGGCATGGGCCGAGCGAAGCGGAGGCGGTGGACGAAGACTACATCAAGAGTGAGGTCCGAGCGCGCGGAGGAGGAGCCGAGAAGATGATGCCCAATGACCTCATCGTCAAGTCCGGTGACTCTGTCGCGCGGCTCGAGCAGGGGCCCCTCAGGGGCGGCCGCATCACTCGTCGCGGGTACGCCTACAAGTTTAAGGGCGTCAAGGGCAGCTCATGCATACATATATATATATATATATATATATTATGCATTTGTGTATATATACACACATATTATGTCTCCATGCCTCAGAGATTCCAGAAGAGCCCAAGAGATGCCTCGACACCTCATCCCATCCTCGGCCCTCGAGCCTGGATCTTTGCTCGGGAGGCGGCGGGTCCCGTCAAGGAAGCCTGGACGTCTGTTTGCGGGCCCAAAAAGAATTGTTTTGATCCGACCACAGCCCACCAGAAGATGTATTGACTACCCATCCGTCGGAAGAAGTAGGTAGACACATGAAGCAGGAAAGCGTTGAAAGAACGTGGGCGGAGGAGGAGGAGGCGGAGGAGGAGGAGGCGGAGGCGGAGGAGGAGGGGGGAGCAACACATCTGGGAGGCCAGGAGGCCGTCGGCCGCCCACCGACCGACGGGCGCCCGCCCCCGCGGGCCTCGCGGGCCCTGGCCTCGAGCGCTGCGAGCCGGGCGTCCTGGGCGGAGCCGTCGCCGAGCAGGCGCCTTGCGCGAGGGAGGGGCCGCGCAAGAGATCGACTGCAGAACCCCTCCTCCTCCTCCTCCTCCTCCTCCTCCTCCTTCTCCTCCTCCTCCTCCTCCCTTCGCCTCCTCCCTTCGCCTCCTCTCGGGCCCAGGCCCCCTCGAGCCATGGAACGATCACGACGCGAAGGCTTTCTCCCAGACGTGATATCGCGTCGTGGAAAAATCAGGGCGGGAGGTTTTTGGCCTTTTTCGGCCTCGGGGGGCCCTCGCCGGGCCTCGGGAGCGTCCAAAAACGACCCGGGATGAAAAACCGGTCCTGGGGAACGGGTCGGGACATCCAGGGGCCCCGTCCCGAAAAAAATCAGGACGTCGCATGTCTGGGACTGATCCACCCCAACATTGCTTCTACGCTGAATCTACGAGCAATGTGTAGAGCGTTCGTAGATCTGCGAACATTATACGTCTTTCTTCGCAGGCTCGACGAACGCACGAATTCTAGGGTGCACCAGTCCTGTAGACGATCTCCGCAAGGGCGCCTAACTTCGCGCTCTCGAGCCGCCCCCCAGGGGAGAAGAGGAGAGCGAGGATAATTCGGCGCAAGATTTGGGAAGCAATGTTGGGGTACGATATCTCCCCCTCTTGGGGCACGATGTCTTACCCAGCCCTCTCTTCCACTGCATGGCTCCTCCACATTCCTGATCAAGACCACTCGTCTGGGCATCGGTTCTGGAGGGACCTGTGGGGTTGCGCGAAGCGTCTAGAATCTTTTGGAAGTAATGTTCATGCTCGTCGGCGCGGGCGCGGGGGAAGGCGAAGAGGGCGGGCCTGCTCAAAAGGCTCGGAAGGTCTCTGGTCTCCTGAGACGCTCTCTAAGCCTTCTCCGAAGCCACAGAGGGCTTCTCAGAAGGCCAGGGGTCTTCTGAGGAACCCCGCTGCCTTCTGAGAAGGCCTGCCCCCTCTCACGTCCTCTCTTGGTGCGCCGCCAAACATGCGGCCCCCCATCGCCATTCCCGTTCGCCTGCATCGTGCGCACGCTGAGCGGAAGTCGGCGGGGTAGTGACAAGATGCACCCTTCCCCCTTGGAGGCAGAACTTCCCAACGCTCACGCCCACCATCAGAGACGCAACGAGCACTGTCCCCCGCCACACAAGTGTATACAGTGGAGGCCAGTCCACAAGAAACCTTCCACCAGAAACCTAACCCTGAGACCCCAGGACGTCCATTGATTTTTTGGTGTGGGAGCGTCGCGCTTGCCATAGCGAAACCATCGAAACCCAAGAACCTCAGGGCACCCTGGAGGCAGGCAGGGTGTTTCTTGGCATGGGCCCCCCACTGTATTTTGTTGCTTGCTTCTGACGCTCGGGATCGATGGGCCGAGCCCGGGGGCGCTTCCCTGGGGCAGCCTCGCTGGCGAGCTGGCTCGCGCTCGCGGCAACAACTTTCCAATTGTGCGTTCGGTGCCTGCTGCTGCTCCTTGAGCAGCCTGGCTGGCACGGCGGATGCTGCGCGTGGCGCACGCCTTCCTCAGGGCTCCCCCTCCTGGTCCGAGGTCCAGAGCGTCAGATTGTCGCGGAGCAGCTGCATGATGAGGGTGGAGTCCTTGTAGGAGTCCTCCGCGACGTTGTCGAGCTCGGCGATCGCGTCCTCGAAGGCGGTGCGCGCCATCTTGCATGCCTCGTCCGGGTTCGCCAACACCTCGTACTGAAATACCGAGAAGTTCAGAGCAAGACCGAGGCGGATCGGGTGCGTCACTGCCAAGTCCTTGGTGGCAATCGCTTGGGCCTCCTCGTAGGCTAACTTGGCGTCGTTCGAAGCCTTTTCTTTGTCAGCGCCAGTAGTGTACTCGGCAATGTAGCGGTAGTAGTCGGCCTTCATCTTCTGGTCCACCACCACGTTTGTCCGTGGCTTGCATGTGTGTATGAATGTGATTATGTGACGGGGCCGCTCGTTTCTCTCCCCAGGCACTGTGGCCTCGCGGGGTTTGGCCTGCGGATGCGTCGGCGCTCTTTCGGGTCCGGATGGCCGGCCCCATCCTCGCGCCGCCGGGTGGGTCGTCCTCAACTCTCCCTCCACCGTTGTGCGACGCCTCCTTGCTTTCCTTGGCGGCGAGCTGGGGGGGGAAGTGATAAGGGACGGGCCTTCTCAGAAGGCTCGGAAGTCGCCGGGCCTTCTGAGAAGTTTCCGGAGCCTTTACCGAAGACCCGCCCAAAAAAGCTTCTCAGAAAGCGCGGGGGCCTCTGAGCAGACCCGCCGCCTTCCGAGAAGGCCCTCTCCCTCTCGCTTCCCACCCTGGGATGGCAAAAACCCACCCCCCACCAGGGCGATTCGGGGCCCAAGAATGGAGAAAACCCACCCCCACCCCCAGTCCGACCCCTTGAATCGCCCGCTCGGGGATGAGATTCGGGATTGGGTGTGGGGCTGACTTTTCGCCTTCTGACCGCCCTCGCTCGCCGCCGATCCTTGCCCTCCTCCTGCCCGCGCCTCGGGCTGTCACCCGGGGCTTCGTCCTCCTCCTTTCTCCTCTGGACTGCAAGGGGTGGGGGGTGAGGCGGAGGAGGAGGAGGAGGAGGCGGAAGAGGAGGAGCAGGAGGAGCAGGAGGAGGAGGAGGAGGAGGAGGCACGCACCTCCCTGGAGTCGCTGGCTGGCTTCGCGCCTGGCAGCCTCCGACCGTGTCCCTATACCGCCGCCCGCCTGCTCTCCACCCCATCTCTGTCTCGCGGGGCGGCCGCCCAAAAATGCAGGCGGGTGCCCTGGCACCGCGGTGTGAAGCTGCCCTTGCCTCGCGCGCAGACTTCTTTGGGCTGGCGCTGCGCATGGCCGTGACCTGTTTTTTTTTGTTTCTGCACTGCAGCGCCTCCGCGCTGCCTCATCAACAACGCTTGATGGATCAACCCGCTGATGCTACAGTTATGTGTATATTTGTGTGTACATATATATATATATATATATATATATGCGTGTGTGTTTGTTTGTGCGTGCGTCGGGGACCTTGCCTTTTCTCTGCTCGGCTCCCTGCGGAACAAATATTGTACCGCAGAACGCTGGCAGTCGCAGATTCTTTGCTGCTGGTCGCCAAGATTCTGGCATTCCAGAAACGACATGAGGCAAACAAATGCAGCTGGAACCTTGTCGCCCCCCCTCCTGCCAGCCCCCTTCTCCCAGCGCGCCAGAGGATCCTGCGCGGAAGCGCTACTGGATAGAAGACCTTCGACTCGCCTGTGGTTGCCTTTCCGATGAGACTGTTGTCCAACACGGCAAGGATCTTCTTGCAAATGTCATCAAGCTCACCCTCGACCTTCTTGCAATACTCCTTCGCGAACTTTGCGTTCTCCTCGTTGCCCTTGCTAGTCTCCTTCTGCTCCACGCTGGTGATGATACGCCATGCAGCGCGGCGCGAACCCACGGCGTTCTTGTAGGCTACGGACAAGAGATTGCGTTCTTCAACTGACAGTTCGTCCCCCGACTTCCCCACTGCCTCCATGTGAGTCGCCATCTCGTCGTAGCGCTCCGCCTGCTCCGCAAGCTTCGCGAAGTAGACCTCCTTGTCACGATTCACTGCCATCCCTGTAACTGGCGCTGTTTTGCGAGGTGGGCCTGCGGCCGATACTACGTATCTCCAAAAGTAATTGGAAATCTCCTCGCCTTGAGCCCGAATTGCATCGAATCTCAACTGCGTGGGGTGATGAGCGCTTTTTGGCTGGAGTGAAGATGATCAGCGCTGCTCGAACGCTTCGAACAATGAACCGAATGGCTGCTGACATGAGCTCGAATGTGTACATCCACCGGCCCTCTTAGTGCTCAACGCAGAGCAACGTGCTGCTGAACTGCTTTCTTGTTTTCCTTGTACCGTCTTCTACTTGTCGCTCTTATCGCTCGAATCCTGTCCTCTCTGCTGTCGGTCACGGGGTCCCACCAATAATCAAAAAACCATCTGGGGGGATCCCTCAGCCCCCTGGCCGTCCCACCTTGCTTCCGAATTGCCGTAGGGATGCCACCAGACGGCCATGTTGGACCAAGAGGCGTCCAGAACGGCCGAGGATGGCCACAAGAAGCCTCAATGATGGCCGAAAAGGGCCCGAAGACGCCTCCCCGAAGGCAACACACACACACATCGTTCTCTTCGACGTAACGATCCACACGTGTGCATATATTGTGGCGCTTTCCTTGGCAAGTGTATGAATATGAACGGTCCTGAGCGCAGGAGGAACTCGATTTAGCATCGATGGCTGAGCACGGAGGGCATTGAATGTCCTCCTGCTGTCCGCCTCCCTCCCCTTTTCCGTCCCTTTTCCCCTCACCTCTCCATCCGCCTTCCCCGTTCCCATCCTCCTTCCCCCTCCCTCTCTGTTGTCTCGCTCCCTCGCACTCCGCCACCCGCTCCGCCGCTCCCCGTGGCTCTCCCTCTCAGCCGGCCCCCCGCTCTCCCCAGCCCCCGCTTCCTCCCGCACTCATCGACTCTCCACCGCTGCACAGCGATGGCTGCGAGGTGTGCCCTCGGGGGCCTGCCACCCGAACCACATATTGTTGAAGGGGCGGGCATCTCTGTCTACCCCTCTGCCGTCCCCATCTACTGCGATGTGCTATCGTCATCTCGACTGCACCACTGCACGCTCGCAGAATACTCGTTCGTCTGTCGCGCAAGCACTGGGGTTCCGTCCCTGCTCGACCCGGACATCCAGGCTCGTGCTTCTGCTCACGCTGCAGACCCCCTCGAAGTCCTCGTGAGGTCTGGGCCTCCTCCCCAGAACTGGCGTTCCATCCAGGGTCTGCTTTGCCCGTCCTGGGGCCTGGTCCTCCTCCTCCTCCTCCTCCTCCTTTTCCTCCTCCTCCGCCTCCTCCTCCTCCTCGGAGGCCCCCAGAAGCCAAAACACATGTCGAACACTGCCCGCCACGATGCCCTCACGACGCGAGGAGGACAGAGGAACTCCTGGCCCTCCCGCCGACGTGCACCTTGGGCCTCGCTTTCTTCGGCTTCCTGCTCGTGCACTCGGGTGCTGCGCCCACCCCGCGCGCTTCCCCCCCAGTCCTTCGCCAAGCATATTCATATTAGTGCAACATACAAGGCATTATTTGTACACCCGCCTCAGTCTCGCATGACAACGGACAACCGCGCCAGGGTCGCCGACGAGCATTTGGCTGCGCAACTTCCTTTGGTTCCCTTCCTGGTCTAGGACTGAGTATGCCCACTCTTTCGGGCACCCTTGGTCCAGTCCGTCTCCAACGTTTCGGCGTGTCTTTGGCGATCCTCTTCAGGACCTGCCACAGCCAACCACACGGGGCAGGCCGACGCTGTCACGAACGTTAGCTCTGTTTTCGACTGTGCGAAAACACGCGCGTACCTCTTGAATGCATAAGTACACTGTGACTGGCTGAATTCTGGGACTCTTTCGTACACACCACTAATGCCAGAAGATGTCAAGACAGGCTCTGAGAACCTGCTGTTTTGGCCTTCGAAGAAGGGAAGTAACAACTGCCCCCTCTTTCGTGACACCGCCGGCAACCGCAGCTAAGCCGGGCGATTGCCCCGTTTTCCTTGGGCGGGCAGTAACCACGGCCCAGGGTTGCGAGCCACCCGACCCTTGCGTTAGGCGCTCGTGGATAATCAGAGCGCGCCCGCGAGGTCCCCTTATTGTCGAAGCCACCATTGCTACCTCTATGACTGTTGGGAAAAAGCCGCACCACCGAAGACGAGCTCCTGGAGAGACTTTCGGCTGATAACCAATCCTTCGCCAAGCATATCCATATTAGTCCAACATACAAGGCATTATCTGTACACCCGCCTCAGGCTCGCCTGACAACGGACAACCGCGCCAGGGTCGCCGAGAAGCAGTTGACTGCGCAACTTCCTTTGGTTCCCTGTCTGGTCTAGGACTGAGTATGCCCACTCTTTCGGGCACCCTTGGTCCAGTCCGTCTCGAGCGTTTCGGCGTGTGCTTGGCTATCCTCTTCAGGACCTGCCACAACCAACCACACGGGGCAGGCCGACGCTGTCACGAACGTTAGCTCTGTTTCCGACTGTGCGAAAACACACGCGCACCTCTTGAATGCAAAGATACACTGTGACTGGCTGTATCCTGGGACAGAAGATGTCAAGCCAGGCTCTGAGAACCTGCTGTTTGGGCCTTCGAAGAAGGGAGGAAACAACTCCCCCTCCTGCCTCAGACCACCTCGCGCTGTCGTCGGCACAATGGTGGTCACCGATGATGCTGCTGATGATGATGCTGGTGATGATGATGACGACGATGATCATGACGATGATGGTGATGGTGATGATGATGACGACGATGACGAAAACGACGACGATGATGATGACGACGGTGATGAGCATGACGAGGACGAGGACGAGGATGATGATGCTGATGATGATGATGATGATGATACTGACGCTGATGCTGATGCTCCTACTGCTGATGATGATGATGATGCTGATGCTGATGCAAGTGATGCTGATTATGAAACTGATTATGACGATGGTTCGGATGAACATGATGAGTATGACGATGATGCTGATGATGATGATGGTGATGCTGATGCTGATGATGATAATGATGATGATGATGGTGGTGATGGTGATGGTGATGATGATGATGATGATGATGATGATGATGATGATGATGATGATGATGATCGTGGTCGCCGTCGCCGCCGTTCTCGCGGCCGCCGCCGCCGGGCCTCGCCTGTGGAGCTCGGTGTTCTCCTGGAGGAGCCGCGGCTGCTCCAGCTTCAGGCCCCTCAGCCTCGACGCCCACTCATGCGCCTGCGGACTCCTCCTCCTCCTCTTCCTCCTCCTCCTTCCTATCCTCCTCCTTCCTATCCTCCTCCTTCCTATCCTCCTCCTCCTCCTCCTCCTCCTCCTCCTTCTCCTCCCCCTTCCTCCTCCTCTCCCTTCTCCTCCTGCTCCTCCTCCTCCTCCTCCTCCTTGTCCTCCCCCTTTTCCTCCTCCTCCTCCTCTTCCTCCTCCTCCTCATCCTCCTCCTGCTCCTCCTGCTCCCTCTCCTGCTCCTCCTCCTCCACCTCCTCGTCCTCCTCCACCCCCTCCTCCTCCTCCTCCTCCTCCTTCTCCTCCTCCTCATCCTCCTCCTCCGCCTCCTCCTCCTCCTCCTCCGCCCTCCTCCTCCTCCTCCTCCTCCGCCTCCTCCTCCGCCTCCTCCTCCTCCTCCTCCTCCTCCTCCTCTCCTCCTCCTCCTCCTCCTCCTCCTCCTCCTCCTCCTCCTCCCCCCTCCTCCTCCTCCCTCCTTCTCCTCCTCCTCCGAGAGGTCCGGGGGCGGCCCGCCTGGCCCTGAGCCAGGTGCTGCCACGGCCAGGCTCTTTTCCTGAGCGTGCCGCCGCGGGGGGGCCCCCGGCGACACGCTGTGCCCTGCGAGCGGATCGCCGGATCACGTGTCGCTCAGCTCCGCGGGGCTGGAGGCTCGGGAAGACTCGGGACGCTGACGCCTCGGGACCCAGAAGTGGGTGCAGTGGAGGCCCGACCACACGAAGCCTTCCACAAGACACTCAACCCTGAGACCCTAGGACGTCCATTGATTTTTGGGCTGGGAGCGTCACGCCTTCCACAGCAAAACCATCGAGACCCAAGAAACCCAGTGCCCCCTGGAGGCAAGCAGGGTGTTTCTTGCCATGGGCATCCACTGCAGCGTGTCGCTCCGAAGCGTGTTGGGCCCGCACCAGCGCAGCGGGACACGCTGTCCAAGAGTGCCCGACGGTAGGAGTGGCCCTGGCCCCGGGGGGCTGCCAGCCTTTCGCGCACTCTTCGGGCCTCTGGGGGTCCCTGCGGGCCTCGTGAGGGTGTTCTAGAAGCCACCTGCGCCTCTCTGGGAGCAGCTGGGATCACTGTTCGGCAGCCAGCCGGGGGTTGGGAAGTGGGAGGGGGCGGGCCTTTTCAGAAGGCCTGGAAGCCTTCCGGCCTTCTGAGAAATGTTCGGAGCCTGCCCCGAAGACACACGGCATACTTCTCAGAAGGCCCAATGACCTCTGAGAAGCCCCGCCGCCTTCTGAGAACGCCTCCTCCTTCTCACTTCCCCCCCTCGCTCGCCGCCAAACTTTGGGCCAGGGCGACCTCCAGCGACAGCCGAACGAGAGCGCAGGCGCCAGGCCCGCGAGCTCCGCCCTTCTCTTGCGCAGACGGCCCCTGTACACCACCATCGAGCCTGGCTGGGGCCGTCCCGGGCCCCTACGCACACCATCGGCGTCACCGTCGGCCCCTCGTCCCCCGTGGCTCATCCAGGCGCCCTCTCGTCTTCTGTGGCTTCCTCGTCGTCGTCGCCGCCGTCGCCGCAGTCGCCAGTCACCGCCGCCGTCGTCGACCGCGGTGGGCTTCGGGCCATCACTCGGGCCTCCGGCGGTCGTTCGAGGCGATCCATGTACCTCGGAGCTCTGTCGGCGAGGCGCAGCTACTGGGGAGCATCCCGAGGCTGGCAACCTGCCGAGATCCGGCGAACACGCCCAAAAAACCTCTGACATCGAGCACGTCGTCTTGGTCGTCGTCGGGTCGTCGTCGTCGTCGTTTGCGTCGTCGTCGTCGTGGTTCTCGTCGTCGTCACCGTCGTCGCAGCGGCCCCGCGGGGGGCGCGCCTCCTGCTCGCGGCCTTCCACGCGAGCCCAGACCGCGCGGCAGCCCTCGGCCGAGCGGAGCAGATCGCCTCGCTGGGCCCGCCGTTTGCCGCTCCCTGGCGCGCTGCTGCAGCTGGCCGCCGTCGACCCAGAACCTCCTCGAATCATGAAATAATCACGAACGATGTTTGTTTGATATTCCCAACGTGCCTGTGTGTTGGGTCCTCGTTTTGAATCGCAGCGCCGCGCCCCACCTCCTCCTCCTTCTCCTCCTCCTCCTCCTCCTCCTCCTCCTCCTCCTCCTCCTCCTCCTCCTCCTCCAGTCCTCTCCTCCTCCCCTCCTCCTCCTCCTCCTCCTTTCTTCCTCCTCCTATATAACTTTCCCCTTCGTTTCCTCCTCATCCTCCTTTTTCCACTTACCATCACAACCGACACCACCACCACCATCACCACCACCACCACCACCATCATCATCATCATCATCATCATCATCATCATCATCATCATCATCAGCAGCAGCAGCAGCATCATCATAATCATCATCATCATCATCATCATCATCATCATCATCATCATCGTCAGCATCAGCATCAGCATCATCATCACCATCACCATCATCACCAGCATCACCACCACCACCACCATCATCAGCATCAGCATCATCATCATCATCATCATCATCGTCATCATCATCACAGCATGAGCATGAGCATGATCATTAGCATCATCAGCAGCATCATCATCATCAGCATCAGCATCATCATCATCATCATCATCATCATCATCATGATCATGATCATGATCATCATCATCATCATCATCATCAGCATCAGCATCAGCATCAGCATCAGCATCAGCATCATCATCATCATCATCAGCATCATCATCATCATCCGTAGCCATTCTGGCTCAAGATTATGCGATCAGCGCAGATGCTTGGTCCCATGTGGCTGGCTCTAGCCGTCGCGTCACTTCTTGGGTCAGATTCCAAATCTACCAAGCTTTCAGAGAGGCCTTCGCGGCCACAGTTCTTTCATACCAATGTCCTCCCCAACACTCGGCCCCAGTCGCCCGATTGGGAGCCCAGCATCGGCAGGCGGGACGTGGTGGCGGTGCTCGGGGAGCCTCGCGTGGCGGTGGTGGCAAAGGCGGCACAGGCGGACGAGGAGGTAGTCAGCCAGGCGGAGTGGGGGGCAGCAGCAGCGGTGGAAGCAGCCAACCCAAAGCCTGGGATTGTCCCACGTGCGGTGCCAAGAAAAACTGGGGCACCAGGTACGTGTGTCGCAGCTGCGCATGTGATTGGTGGGAGCAAGGATCCGGCGCGACCTCGCGGAGTGGCATGTCTCATCTGGACGCCAAAGAACGACACGAGCTCAACCAATTGCGGCGGAAGGTCAAAAAGCTCGAAGGAGATTCTCTCGGAGCTTCAGGAAGTGATGGAGGCGCAGCAACTGCAGCCATGTCCACCCCGAAGGACGAAAAGGGTACGGCGCCTTGGGAAGTTACGGAGTGAAGTCAGAAAGCTCGAAGGAGTTGAGGGCACGGCGGGTGAAATACTGTCTGGCAATAGGTAGGGGGCGCAGCAGCTGGAACATGAACTCGCCGAGGAGAAGCCCACGGCCGCGCAGTTCAGCGAGCTCGAGCGCAAGCAGTGGAACCAGCAGAGCACCTCGGAGGCGCTGGCCAAGAAGATCGAGGACACCACGCGAGAGGTCACGGGCCCCGAGGCGCAGAAGCTCGACCTGGAGGGCAAACGCGAGCAGAGCAAGGCTACGGAGAAGGAGCTCCAGGCGCTCATCGACAACCTCTTGGCCAAGCACAAACGTAAGCGTGAAGGTTCACTCGGAAAAAGGAGCGCTGGGGGTGGGCGCCACTGCAGCAGCACCTCGGTCCCCAGCAGCGTTGTTCAGCGAGGGCGAACGCGCCGCAGCCTTGTTGGAAACTTTGGACCAGGCTTCTGGCATGCTCAACGCAGGGTACGCGCAGCAATGGGAACAACAAGTTTCCCAGCTTCGTCGGCTGGCGCACAGCGTGGCATCAGCAGGTGCGGCAGTAGAACGCGACAGCGGCAACGAAGGACTCGAGGAGGCTGACCTCAGCAACATCCTGGACAGCATGGAGGAGGAGGCCGAGGTTCCCGCGGAGGAGGACAGCGCTGCAGCAGGCGCTGGTAGCGGCGACGAAGGGGCTCGACGCGGTGGCCCAGCAGCCCAGGCAGCCCAGAGGCGCAGGCTTCGCGCACAGAAGCTCCCCCAGAGCCTCCGCTCGACGGGGTACTGGCGGAGGGGGAAGCGTGGGTAGCAAGCCCATATTCACGGTGGCCAGCCTCAACGGCAGCGGCTGGGGCCCCTTCGCGACCACCCTCGGAGAGCAGCAGGGCCCGCAGCAGCAGGTGGTCGCCGACGCGCACATGGGCGATGCGATCTGCTTTCAAGAGCACCGCCGCAACGGCTACAGAGTTGCCGAGCAGGAGCAGTGGTGCAAGCAGGTCGGCTGGAGCGCGGTGCTGACCCCAGGCGTGAGTTCCGTGGGGGCATCGCAGCAGCGCGCGGTGAGCGGTGGCACTGGGGTCACAGTTCGCTCTGCTCGCGGTATGTGCGGCCCAGGCGTGCAGGGCTGCAAGGCGAGCTACCATGTCTCTGACGGCAGGGCCACGGTAGCCCATGTCAACGGAGCGGTACCTGGTGGGTTTCTGCTGGGCTCCGTTCACCTGGGCGACGACGACGTCGGCGAGACCAGCCAGTCTGTACTGCAGGAGGTCGGCTCCCTCCTTAAGCGCACGGGGAAGCCGTGGGTCATCGCGCGCGACTGGAACGTGGGGCCCGAGCGTTTCCTTCAACGTGCGGGGCATTGGCTGAGCAAAATTGGCGGATGCGTTGTCGACGCGGGATTGGGCACCTGCCAGCGCTCCCCGACCAAGGAGCCCTCGGAGCTCGACTGTTTCATTGTCTGCTCCGATATGCTCGACCGGGTGTTAGCCTGCAAGCGCCTGGACATGACCGCGCAGGGGTGCGCCAACCCTTGCCGTCCACGCATGGAAGTGCAGCCCAACCTTACCTGCTGTGGTGACATGGGCCAGTCGTTCAGGGTCAAGGGGGCCGGTGGCTTTCCCAAGGCCCGCCCGTGAGGGCCGATGCTGGAGAAGCACTGGAACCACAGCTCTGTTCGGGCCCATATCGACATGAGCGGAACCCTGCAGGACATGGAGGAGGCATGCCAGGGGCTCTGCGAGAGCGTAGAGGAGGGGCTCGTGTGGGCCTACCAGATCGACCCCGATGACGCCGACTTCTATCGGGGCGGGGGGGCCCGCCGCAGTTCGCTTTCGGCCCCCGGGCGAAGGCGCGCCCCATCAAGGGCCCCAAGGCCAGCTTCAAGGGTAGGAAGCTCATGCACCTGAGCGACAACTTCACCCAGGCGAGGCTTCTCACAGGCGGCGCTGAGGCCGATGGCGGGGGGCAGGCGTCTGAGGAGCGCCTCCGGATGGGCCGCGATCGACGCGAGGCCGAGCGCATGCAGGCCAGGGCCATCAAGCGCAACAAGCGCGCGTCGGGGCGTCGAGCGCGCAGCTGGGCCGCCAACCCGAGCGACCCCAACTACCGCGGGGGCGAGGCCGAGTGGATGGAGAAGTGCGTGCCCTGCCTCTTCCGCATGCTAGGCTTGCCGACGCACGTCGCCACGGGCCTGGCGCGCGATTTCGAGAACCGCATGCGCACCGCGAGAGGGGTCTGCTCTTCGGCGTGGCGGCGCGGGGGCCCTGGCAGGCGAGAACTGGTTCGTATCCTTCGACAGCTCGGCCACCCACATCCCGAATGCGGGGGGGAGGAGCACCGCCGAACGGCCGACATCTACTTGGGATCGAAACGGCGGTTGGAAGAGCGCGGCGACCGCAGCAAACCCCTCCCTGGCGCCCCCATCACCCTCGATGTTTCGACCGGGCTTCCTACGGATTGGGAGCCGCACTTGGGCGGCGGCAATCTGAGTGGCGACCCGCGGTCGACGCCGCAGCCCAACCTGAGTGGTGATCTACGCGGGGCGCCACACCCCCCAGTCCTGTGCGCCGCTTTCGGGCGAGCGGCAGCCGTCGGCGGCTGGAGCGCCATCGAGGTGGGCGTGCAAGGGGCCCCGAGGGCCCTCCAGCGCCTCGCTCAAGGCTGGCTCCCGCACTTGCACGCCCCCGACTCTGAGCTCGACAAGGCAGAGTGGCTGACGCTGTGCGCGCACTACGCGTTCGCACGCATCAGCCAGTACGAGGGCGATGGCACCGCCGACGCGAACGCCGTTGAGGCCCCCAGCGGCGCAGACGCAACGCGGCAAGGGGAGCAGCATCTGCTGAGAGGGTCAGCTCGATCCCAGCCCAGCCCCCTTCCAGGCTCCTTTTTGCCCTCCAGCAGCCACCAGCACGGGGCAGGCAGCATTGGCTTGGGCGGCGGCACCCACCGCCAGCGGCAGCACTGGCAGCGATGGCGCGGTCGGCGCCTGCACGGAGCAGCCGCTCATGGACCGCGCAACGGCGCGCCGGGACAAGGATGTGGAGCTGCGCGAGGAGAGCTGGTCAGGCGCGCAGCCTGTGAGGAGCGAGTGCCACCGCGGCGTGGCCGCCCGTGACCTGACGCGTGGGCTATAGCTGACGTCAAGCATTTCATGCGCTACCACGGCGACCCCCCGTCGGATTCTAGCGACGACGGGGAAGACGGCGGCTACGGCGGCGGCAGCGCAGACGGCCGAGAGGCACGCGCAGGCGCATCAGCACCGAGGCCCCCGACCATGGAGGGCCTCCCGCTGGGGGCGCACTGGGCGGCGCGCGTTGCCCTGGCGGCCCATTGCCGCGACCTGTCACCCCTGGCGCCGAATGGGCTGCCGAGGCCAGGGCTGCGGCGGAGGCGGAGGGCGCCGCCTTTGCCGCCATCCGCGGCCAGGGGTTCAAGAAGTGGGCCCGCACTTCCACGGCAGCATGCGCAGGAGGCCTACGCGCCCATCGGCGAGGACCGCGCGGCCGGGCACCTGATGACGAGCTGCGCGGAGCCCCGGCGCGCGGCCCAGGCCGAGCGGGGATCGCGGCGCAGCAGTGGACCTCCGAGGTCTGGCGGGC